CCTTTCTTTTGTATCTTTCCCCTCTATCAGGTCAATCTCTTTTTACCACTTATCCACGCTTAACCAGCCCAGTAAATCAAAATTCACAACAAAATCTGACATTTCAAAAAACAACCATTAATTGGCACAGTAATACTGTTATTATGCAGACACAGCTGTGTGTATATGGAGTGTTTTACAACGGCTTCGAACATGGCTCAACCTTTCAAAATCAAGAAGCTGAACTATCTGTTTTATAATGTCAATTTTTAAAGCATGTGAGTAATGCAAGATCTCTCGCCTTTTGGCAAGCAGTAGAGAAAATTTAATGTGTTTACCAGCGATGCATTTTAATATCAGATTTAGGTGTAATCCAGCTTAATCATGTCTACTGTAGTCACAATCAGGGCACAAGATGCATGTTAAAGCCAGGTGGAAAGAGGGGATTTACGGTGAGAGGAGCAGGCAGTCCTCCCTCACTCCCTTGTTTTTCTCTGCATTGCTTTTTTAAAGTTATTCCTTTTTGCAAAGAAACACCAAATAGAGCAGACGAGGATGCTGCAGCATAAAGGCCAAGAAATCGAACTCTTGTTCTATGATTTGTGAGTATGAGGCATGGGCATTAGCCGACTTACATATTAATTACCTGCTGTTCAGGGTGTTGAGTGCGCTCGTATTTTGAAAGAGCAGCAGAGCATGTAGAAGTGAGATTTTCATGGATGTTAACTGTTGCATGCTCAAGCCCAGCTGGATAAAAAAACCCAGAGTGCATTTGCACCTTTTCACAAAATCAAATCACAATTGCACCAAGCTAAATGAAACAGGATTGACTACTGAGAAAGTGGCACAAGATGTTTCAGTCCACTGTTGAAATGATTAGCTCTAAAAGATTCAACTTGGAGAACTGTTAAGAGACTTTCCATGGCATTTTTCAGGCTAAAAACATCAGTGCACACACTCTCCTATTATATAAGCTTAATACAACTAATACACACATGTCGTCTTATTTGTATTACTTGTTAGACCACTCTTACTTTCGCTCCTCTCTAGTTAATTGGCTCTTTTCACCACCAGAAGCCCAGTGTAAACAGTTGAGAGATTTTCAGTTGAAGCAAGCTTCTAATTTTTCCAGTAGCTCTTGTGGTACTACAGTGGGTCTTATTGTGCACTGATGTGACAGCACCCATTTCTTATCACATTTAGTGTTCAAAAATTACAGATGCAATTACATAACAACTCTTGTGTCTGCTTTTCCATTCACAAAAAGACATAGCTGTTTGTATGGCAGAGGAAACACAAAGGGGAAGAGGAAGGTGTTGGTCCATGAGCTCTGACGCAGGGTTAGAAATCGCTACTCTTCCATGAAACCATCCTTTGACTTTTGCCCCCTTCAAGACTTCACAAGTCATAAATGTGACATGGTGCATTCGAGTGTCTTTGTTTGGAAGTAATACCAAAAAGCACACTGTGGCAAAAATCGGTTGTTTTGGAGGCAACAGAAGTGTGGGGAGACAATAACAAAATGCCACCTCCACCTTTTACCTTTTTCAGGGCAGACATTTTGACTTGTCACTAAAGGACAGGCACATTATTAGGTGTTATGACTGACATTAACCATGGCTCTGCTTTATTCAAGTGTGCCAGTAGGTCATGACAGTGTGAAAGCGAGCCAGCGCAAAGAATTCCAGGACCCTAAATCCAAAGCAGCTAAATGGAATTCAGCCATCAGTAATTTTACTATTTACATCTGTGTTTTTCCCACTGTGGCATGTTAGAATCTGTCTTAAATGACATGATTAATGAGCAGATGAAATCAATGGACAGTGAAGATTGGGAGTGGGATTTAGGCGTTTTATCAAATCTGAAATCATCCTTTTGAGACCTTTCTGTGGCAGGTATGTCTCTCTGGTCATTCAGGACAAAAAGGACGAAGACATTTTAAAATCATAGCACTATAAATTTTGCAACCCTCAAGCTGAGTGTCTGTTCTCTACCCTTGAGCAGTCGTCCTCTCCCCCTCCCTTGTTTCAACAACAAGGTTGTGCCACACATTTCAATTAACAATGAAACCGGTTTCAATACTTGATTTTAATCATGCAAACTTGTACCCAGTGACCCACTGTATGACCATCTCTTTGCATACCTATGTTGTTTGTTGATTTAGATTACTTTGGTATGTCATTAAACTGAAAATGATTGCACAGAGAACATAAGTGATACTAAAATAGGGTTTAGTCCATTTGAAATACTGAAAAGTGACAATAAATTATAAAAAAAATCAAGTCTAGAAGAAAGTGACACTTTAAAACTTCATTAAAATGTCAACTTGAAATTGTACAGTACAAATTACATTAAATTGACGGATAAGACAGCAGTGTTACACAAATTCCCATGTTACAGAACACATCAACACTTACACCATTTTGCTATTACATTAGCTCAAAACTGGTTAAAAAAGATAAGTGGTTGTTTAATTTGCAGTGCACAGTTTAATTTATTTTAACATGCAGCTGAAATGATAATAATAATAAATTAGAAATGAAGACTGTGAATGGATTCATTAGGTCATAAACAGCATGTGCGTGTCTAAAAAGGCACTACCTGCTGTCAGTTCAAACAATTCCTCTGTCATAAAAACACAGTCAGTGTGTTCAAGTGGAGGAAGCCGAGCTTTATAGAAGATCCTGGGGTCTTAATTGAGGGCTGGGGGCAGCAGGCTCACGCCAGATCGATGGCATTTCACCCCCAAAGGGCTTTCGAGATATGACTGGCTTGTCTGAAAGGGCCCCATCCCAAGGGAGCCCACTCAAGAGGACAGGAGAGGACTGACAGGCAGGACACACACACATACACACAAATACAGTATGTGCTTGTGGTCCTGCACATTTGCTTGCTTGTATACAATTGAAATGCACACACACACACACACACACACACACACTGAAATATAATTAAACTTATGGTCATGTAAATGTACATAATTGGTTTCTCTGCTTCTGTCTTTCTTTTCTTTTCCTTTCCCTCTCTCTCTTGCACACAAACACACACACACACACACACACACACACACTCAGCGGCAGGTGAGTGGCATGGCTTGGAGATAACGCCGCTATCAGACCTTCATCAGGAATGGCTGCACTCTCATCTGTCACAGTGGCTTTTTTCTCTATCAGCTCCATCAACTCTCCTTCCTCAGTCCTCTTCCTGTCTTTGTCCATTATTTGACCCTCCGCAGGCTTACCGGAGCTTTAGGGACGAACAATACGTTATTTTTTCTGATTCTGGAAAGACGTGTGCCGTAATTACAGTACTTCAATACTTCCATGTATGACACTATGTACACTATGTACTTGTGTAGCGCGCTAATTTTGACAAGGTGGTGTCTTAAATCGAACACGGCTCTTGTGCACTTACAAGAAATGACAATTGCAAGCAACGTTTGACCGCTTTGTCTTTTTCTTAATGGCAAACTGCAACTTGACAGACCTTTAACAACAACATATAAAAAGCGGGGTCCAAACAAGTGATCAGCCCTGAGGCTTTGTGCATCTTGAGGCAGACTTGTCATTGTGGATGACCTCCTGGTTCCTTATTTTACAGTCTCATTCTTCTCACTGCTCTCGCTGATACAGAATATTACCCTGTCACCTCTCCAGCGGGAGTGTGTTAGAGAGGAAAATAATGCCACCACTGAGTATCATAACTCTATGGTTTTCCCCGCCAGCCTAAGGAAACACTTAAAATGAAACACCTCAACCCGTTGCCGTTGCAAACACTGCACACATTAGCAAACCTGAAATATGGCACCAGGGAACGTCATTCGGTAAATGTGTTTTATACTCACGACGTGTTTATATTGTCACGCTGCATTTATATTACTGTTATGGTTCAGAGGAGGGATTGGTGAAGTTGTTTTTACTGATTTGGTGCAAAGCAGTGCCACTTGCTGTGAAATTTCACATAGAAAAGAAGAACAATAGGAAACGCAGTACTTTTACAGTCTTAGAATTTGTTTGCTAGCAGAGAAGTGCAGGGAAATGAAATGAGAGCGTGTAATGCGTACTCAGAGGAGGACGTAGGGTGGGAATTTAAAGGCTTTCTTGATGAAATGAGATTTCAATTTACTGTTTAAGATTAGGAGTGACTCTGCAGTCCTGTGGATTGGGAAGGTCATTCCAACAACAGGGAGCCTGATGGGAAAAGAAAGAACATTTTACTTTTATTTATCGCGACAGCAAATAAAGGAGAAGACGGGGAGAGTTGAATGCAAAGCGTCAGAGCTAACGCCTAATCATATGTTTTAGAATTGCATTTGGAAAACTCTATCAGCCTAGCAGTTTGTGAGTAAGTTTGAATCTCTACTTTCTTAGACACACACAAACATGGTGCCAGAGCAGGAAAAGTGCGACAGCTCAACTCAATGTTATGTGACAGTTCAATATGACACACGCTTCAACAGGTTGGAGCAGTGACATGACTGACGTGAGAGACAGACACCATAACATTGACAGAGAGGTTAAGGGGAAGTCTCTTTTCATTGCTGTCTTTGCCTCTGCAGGTATTACAATAAGTGGTGGTGCTTGAATATCGATACTCTTTGTACTGTGCTAAGTAGATGACCTGTCTGTCAAGCTTTTTATGTTTAAGTGTTTCTCTGTATACAGACGCTTACACTTAAGCACACAAAGTCACTTTCACGCCCTGATGATACCAGCTCCTGGGCATTGCTGTCGTACCTGTGTCTTATCATACATTAGACCTGATGTAATGGTATGTTAAGCTTTGATGGAGCACAGGAAGAAGTATTAGGTTTGAAATAATGTGCTGGAGCAACAGAAGCGTAGCGCTGCCAGTATTGTAGTTTAAGAACTCACCAAGCCCGCTGTAAGAGATGATTAATACACTCTTTGATGTCTTACGGCCAAAATGGCCAGCAGAAATAATCCGTTTACAATGGCTCTGATGTGTGTGTGTGTCTGTGTCTGCGTGCGTGTGTGTGTGTGTGTGTGTGTGCATTTCAGTGGAGTTCACCAAACTGGACCTAGCCTCTCTGCAGTCTGTTCGTCAGTTTGTGCAGAGCTTCACGGAGCGGGACCTGCCGTTAAACATTCTGGTCAATAATGGTGAGTGATGGAGACGGCATGTTCTTGTCATGTGGGCTGTATACCGCATATATAGAGTAGACCAGTGAGAAAGGTAGACATCCTCTACAAAGCGGTGTAATTTAGATAATGTTACCTGACTGAATTTCATAGGATTTAAAGCATTAAAATCAGCTCACTGAAAAGTCTTGAACACACAGTATATTTTAGCATTTGTGCAAGTGCTGTGTTTCGTATGTGCTCCATCTGGCCGGCTCATCAGTTAGCACAACCTTTTATGTCTTATGTGTCCCCACAGCCCTATCCGCTGAGCTCAAGTACCCGCTCATAGACACCACCCTTTATCCTCCAAATGTGTTCAGTTAAACTGATTTTAAAAAATCTGTTTTTTAACACTTTTAATGATATAAAAGTGGATTTTAGTTGAATTCTTTTTCACACAGTACTTACACCAGAATTTTAAACCAGAAGTTTTTTTAAACTGAAAAAATGTGCTTAAAATATGCAGATAGATGAGGAATACACCTATCAGACACCCAATTAAAACCACTGATGGGTGATGTGAATAATATTGATCACCTTGTTACAATGCATTGTTCTGCTGGGAATCCATGGGTCCTGGTTATCATGTGTATGACATGCACAGTTGCAGACCAAGTGCACCTCCTTATCCGTGGGACATACAGGTACCCCAGAGGTCCTGTGTCCATGCCCGTTCGGGAATGACCCAATGAATACAACAAAGAGCTCAAGGCATCGACCTTACCTCGGTAGTCCCTAGATCCCAATCCAATCGAGCATCCATGGGACACGGTGGTACCACAGAGGTCCCTGTGGATCAGACATGGCTCTGACCTCTCGAGGCATGGACACAGGACCTCTGAGGACTGTCCTGTGGTGTCTGGCACCAGATTCTTTAAGCCCTGTGCTTTTAAACTGGAAAAATGCGCTTAAAATATGCGATGGACTCCTTTCTCATTGCCAGTTTTTTGGTGTATCATGTTCGACATCACAAACACTAGAAAACAGGGTCAGTAAACAGTAGATAGCAGCATGAAGGCCAGTGAAAATGTTACGGTGGTTATCTCTTTTTTCAATATCTGTCTCTAATTTGAAACCCTGTTGGAGTGCTGCTTGGACGGAGACAGATAGAATTTGCGGCTGAGATGACAAAGAGTCACAGAAGTTATCAACAATCACACCGCAAAAGGGGTGAAAGTTGGCGTGGTCATCTGTGTGTCATGTATCCATCACTGCTGATCAGAGCTGGAGCGTATAAATTCCTGCGACTACTGCAGAGTCATTTGCCACTAAAGACAAAAGCCAGATGTTAGTGGATGTCAATGGGTTTTTTTGTGCAATGGGAAAAGGCCCGTAGAGATCCTGAAATTGTCAGTGTTCAGAGTGGGTCTCCTTTCTTTGATTGTATTCTGTCAAAGTTCCGTTATAATCTTTTTCAACTTCTTTGCTTACCTGTCAGCTAGCTTTCATGCACTCTCAATCTCAGCACCTCGAGTTCAGGCCACAGGTGTGATCTGTCTTCTTATTGATGAGTCAGCCACGGATGAGCCACTAAAGAGATCACAAGTGTGATCACACATAATGAACTCTGTGCTGAACACTGCAGACACATTAGAGACCCCCATGGTACAGGTTATTAGGAATATTATTCACCGATTCGGAGCTGTTTGCACAGTATGGGCTCTTGTGTGTACTTTTATCTTGTGTGTCAGATGCATCAGGCACATCAGGCCTACCGAAGAACTTGGATATTAGTGCTCATAAAGGAATTACTCACCATGTTGAGAATACAGTCAACTTCAAACACTGAAACGTAGGGGTGTGATGATTTTCTAAATTCACAGTTCAGTTTAAATCACCATTGTTTTAATCACTTTTTTTATGGTCCTTTCAGGGATGGCTGGCAGAGGGGTTAGTTTAGAGGGTGGTGGATGAATAAGAAAAAATGGGAAAAATCTGGGCCCTATTAAGTCAAGTACAAGAACATGTCAAGAATACTGAGGAAAACTGAGGTTGATTACCTTTATGAATTAACTTAACTTATAAATAAACTAAATAAAGATTATCAGTCTAGACAAGGACAGAGACAAGGACAGAGACAAGGACTGAGCGCCATGACACATACTTATGTGTGTTAAGGAGAGAGAAGGAGAGAAGACAATGACAGAGAATGGGAGAGAACGTGGAAGGTGGACTATTGCATGCAATGATTCTGTAAGTTATGTATGTCATACTCATCACCAGTCATGAAATCTCAGCATTGTTAGCAGCCATGTTGGGGGTGCCGCCTCATAACGTAATGATAGCTCAATGGGCTGGATTTCTTGAGGTGGCAGAAATTGGCACCACAACACGAGAACAGCGGACATTTATGTTGCAGTTGAGTCAGTTTCAGCACTGTTACACCCCCATTGAAATGTATTTTTGTGTGCTTTAAGTGATTGTATATGTGTGTGTGTTTTTGTTTCTGTGTGTCAAGCGGGTGTCATGCTGGTTCCTGAGGGCCGTACTGAGGATGGATTTGAGCAGCACTTTGGCATAAACTACTTAGGCCACTTCCTGTTAACCTGGCTGCTCCTGGACACACTGAAGGATTCTGGGAAGTGTGGTCAATTCTCACGTGTGGTCAACGTCTCCTCCTCTGCCCATTGCATCGGCGAGATCAGACTTAACGATTTAAATAGCTGGTAGGCTCACACACACACACACGTAATCACAACCATATCAGATGATATATTACAGAGCAGGCCTTTTACAAAAAGAATGATGTTTAAAGAACATTTAATCAATTTGTAAATGATTACTCTTTTTTTTTTTTTTTAACTGGGAAATTAGTTTTTTACTTTTCCTACAATCTTATAAGAAACAACAACATTGGACCAACTTGATTTGAGAGATTTGGGAACATGGTGACATCAGATAATTAAACAGGATGTAAACCACCACCAATGACTAAAACTGCAAAAGTAATACCATAGTAGTAAACAAGAATTTAACTTTACCTGTTTTGTTTTGTTTGTTTGTTTGTTGCAAAAACATTTCAAATCCCAACTTGTCACACTCACCTGCACTCTTTCTGTACTGGCATCACCAACACAAGTATCTCATTTTCCTGCTGGCACTAGTGGACAGCTGTTGGCTCCAGTTGGCTCAGTATCATTCCACTTAGCAGCACAGCTGTCCAGAAGCATTAGCAGCCTGAATATCTATATTGTGTTGGGCAAAGGCACACACCAATGTGCTTAGCCTCTCCCAGTTTGTTAAAGAATATAAAGTAATGTAAAATATCAAAAGTTGACGCAAACTTTTTTCAGTTCTGAATGCAGGTGTCCACTATAATAGCTGGCAGGGCCTCAGTGATGCCTACAAGGGTCATTTGAAGACGACAGAAAAATAATATTACAAGATATAACTGTGACCCGATTTTAGCTTAACAGCAATTTGCTACTAAAAGCTAAGATCTTAAGTTGTGAGGTCCTGAATGTAGCTGCCTTGTAGCTAACTGACAAACTTACCTGCTGTAAAGGAAAGGAGAGTTACAGCAGCAGTCTTGTGTGAGGACCTGTCAGTACTGTAAACAGGAGGAAAGGAAAGTAATAGCTGTTAAAAAAAAATCTGATTTTACAGCTGTGTGTGTGAGAGAGAGGTTTTACATGTTGCACTTGTACCACCTGCTAAAATAAAAATATAACATGGAGCATCATTATCCTCAAGTGTGCATACACTCAGGCAGTTTAATCTTGTTTCACAGATGTGTCTTTTAGTAGGAGAAGCTGTTTGCATATGATATTAGTATAATATCACAGGGAGTCTGTGCATCAACGTTTTAAATCAACAGATAGGTAAATATATTGAGTGCTATCAAAATGATATTAAAATCACTTTGCGAGCTGTATATCTGAGCTGTAAATCTTCAAACAGGCACAAACTGCAGATGATAAAAAGGAAGAAACTGCAGTTTAGCGCTGACTTCCTGGTTGGTGTGAAAATTGGATATACCTTTCTATCTTATAGATGATGCACACATTTTGTTTGACATGGTTGAAGGACAGTCAGGTCAATCACTGAGCTACGAAACACTAAAGGTAGCCAGCACTGGTACTGAGTGACTGATTGGTAATTTCTTGTGCAGATGAACTGTCTGTTTTTACCCTTACACCTCTGTCTTCAAGGTGTAAGGTTTTTTAATTTACTACAACGTGTCTTTTTTAAATCTCTGTTACTCTATGTGTCACTAGTGGCTTCCGCTCAGGAACTACAAATGAATATTAGCTTTTAACCATATCTGGTATAATAGATGTATTGTGCGCTGCCTCTGCTAAACAATAAAAAATAATTAAACTGCTGTCACTTTAATTGCAGATAGTCTGTGCAAGTTGGACTAGAACTCCTGATCTGATCTCCTCCATAGATCTTTGTAGATAGCTGGCACTGCAGCTCTGCAGTCCAACGATGTTGTTTGGTTTCACATGCTTCACATCAATGACACTGTGCGGCCTTGTTGGCTCGTTGAGCCTGATGATTCAGCGAGGTCTTGTTATATTTCCACTAAAAGAAGAACTTGGCCTTGTTGAGCAGGACATGGAAAAATAGCACCTATAGTGGCAACAGTTTATCAGAATAAACTGAAGAGAAAACAGCTGCTTACCTGCCTTTTGTCTGTTATATTTAACAGAAGCTCATTTCATAGTTCCAGTGTAAAGGTCTGACAGTGTTTATTGCCTTCCCCCTCTCCAGCCAGTGTTATTCAGCCCATGCTGCTTATTGTCGCAGTAAGCTGGCCCAGCTGTTATTTAGTTCCCACCTCCACCAGGAGCTGCAGCGTGGAGGCTTCCCACTGAGTTCATGTGCTGTGGATCCTGGCATGGTGGATACTGCTCTCTATCGCCACCTCTGGACGCCCCTCTGCCTGGCACAGAGCGCCATTGCTCGCCTGCTCTTCAAGGTAAAACACTGTCCTGACTTTCATCTTTCATTCACACATTTGATTTATGTCATCCTGCAAGGCAGCAAAGCAGATGTGACAAATATTAAAGCACACGTGATAATTAACTGTGGAAAAATAAAGCTTTGGTTTAAACACAGTTCCACCATTTTTGATCAGAAACCAGATAGCATTATTTATTAACTAAAGCCTTTTTTATAGGTTGTGTAATTTTTCACCCCAATAATTTTATTGTTGCAAAGTACACTTTGTGTTTTTCCACATTACCAATGGGTAGTTTTCCCTCTCAACTCAAAATACTTTGTCTCTAATCCTCGATTTTGATTCAGTTACTTTATGGTTACAGAACATTTGAAGGACACCAAGGCCCTAATCTTTGTTACTTTAAAATTTTCCTTGATCCCTCAAACTGCAGTTTATTATGCTGTTGTTCTTACTAAATCTCTATTATCTAAATGTCCAGAAGATAATGCGATGTATCTAAGTGTTTTCTAAAGGTCTGTGAAATATGGAAGCCGAGAACGATGGTGCTTGTAATTATTTTTTTCAATTATCTCAAGATAACAGCTTGTTTTCTTGTGATAAGAGTCAATTTTTGTTTATTCTCAAGAAAATAAAAGGCAGATTGCTCAAGATGAAGAGACAGTTTATCACAAGAACACAACTTTTGTTTTTGTTTCTTGAGATCACCAGATGACAATGGAGAACTCTGGTTCATCCAATCAAACCTGATTTCAGCCTTCAAAATCACCGTCATAACTGTTGAGGAGGATTCATAACTGAACTGTTAGTCCTTAATTCAATTCATTTCAAAGAACTTTATTTCCGTTAGGAACTTCGTCTGTGAAGAGCAACAGTGCATATTAAACAAAATAAATAGATAAATACAAATGTTAAAAAGTTACCGTTTTTTTTTCCCCCGTTAAAGGGTTTTTTTTGGGGAGTTTTTCCTTATCCGCTGTGAGGGTCTTAAGGACAGAGGGATGTCGTATGCTGTAAAGCCCTGTGAGGCAAATTGTGATTTGTGATATTGGGCTTTATAAATAAAATTGAATTGAATTGAATTGAATTAAAAATACAAATACAAATGTTAAAAGGAGAGAAAAAAAACAAACACACACACACACCCTCAAGCATACACATACCAGATCAAATCAGCTGTTATTCAATAATCTGATGAATGAGGGTACAAAGCTGGACATGGATCTCTTTGTTTTAAAAGCAAGAGATCTGTACCTGAGACCTGATGGTAGGAGTTTGTAATGGCTGTGCAGTGTGTGGGTGGTGTCTGAAGCTATCTGAAAACCTTTTTGTTTAGTCCTTCTATTGTAGATGCTGAGAAGTGGTTCCTGTGCCAGTCCGATTATTTTACTGCTAATTGTTATGATTTTGTTTAGTGGATTGCGGTGGATGTTGGACAGTGAACCAAACCAGGCTGATATGTTGAAGGAAATAACTGATTCAATGAAACACTTGTAGAAAGCTGCTAAAACTGATTGGTGAACCTGGAGTCTGTGAAGTTTCCTGAGAAAAAAAGAGGCGCTGCTGACATTTGGAGAAGATGGCTTCACTGTTTTTGTGAAAGGTGAGTTTATGGTCGATTATGGTCCCAAGATATCTGTATGAATTGACCCTTTCAATTGGCTGATTGTTAACTGACGGAGGAGGGATGATGGAGGCGGCTTTACGGAAGTCAATCACCAGTTCTTTTGTTATGGAGGAGTTGAGGTCAAGACAGTTCTGCCTACACCACCCTGCAAAAGTGTCCAACTCAGTCTGTATTTGTCCCGGTGAGTCAGTGGTGTCCATGATCACAGTGTCATCAGAGTATTTGATGTAAGTTATGTGATGATGATGTACAGTCTCATGCGTTGATCAATAATCTGACATTTTCATCTTAAATCAGTTGCTACGGTAGTCATGACACCATCTATACATGCTGGCATGTCACTCCTGACCTCTGATAAATATAAGTAATGAGTAATAATTGTTTTCTTGTGATAAAGGGTTGATTATCTCGTTATTTCAGGTTAACGAAGTTTGTGATGTTGAGATAACGGCATTAAAACAACTGCAAACACAGCTGTTCTCGGCTTCCGTAGTGAAAGAAATGCACACCAAAAAAAAAGGACACAACAGATCTGCAATCCAAGTCTTTTGCAGTGATAAAACACATTGTACAAGCTTGTACCCAGAGGAGCTTAGGTTTTCGTTTAATGATTTTAAAGCTGAACTGTTGAAGTTGAAATCTTGGATGTCTGCAGCAAAATGGTGATGATTGCAGTAACTTTGCAGTCCACATGGTCTGCTCTCTTGTTAAGGAACTGCTGCGACACTGTTTAACTTTGTTTAACCTACTGCAGTGACCTGAAACAACAAACTCAAGTGCAGACATTCACGATTTTATTATACAAGATGAAACATACTCAAGCATGCGCACACACACATACACACACTCTATCCACATCACTGAAAATGGAGCTGCTACTAGAAATCAAGGCAGGCTGTTCACTGTATAATATTTTAAAACATTTCTTGCCTAGCTCAAAGCGCTGGCCGCAGGCTGCTGTTAATGTCCCTGGGATTTAATGGAAGGAGACGTGTGTGTGCGCTCCCAAAACTGCAATTGTCACAGGCATTTGCCTCTGAGCACAACCTTTGGGATGGTTCTGCCCCACATACGCAAACACATTAATCACACACACTCATGCATGTAATCATTAACACACACACGCACAAACACACAACCTGTGATTCTCTCCCGTTACGACACCTATTTATGTAGAGCCGTAACATTTAGGTGCATGCAGAGCCAAAAGCTAAGAGATATTGTAGAGAGAGAACTTGAAGAGCTAGAAGAAAGAGGACTTTATTAATCCAGGACGAGAACAGTCAAGGAGGTAGATGAGGAATACATCTATCAGCCACAGATTAAAACCACTGATGGATGAAGTGAATACTATTGATCATTTTATTACAATGCAGTGTTCTGCTGTGAATCCTTGGCAGTGGGTCCTGGTATTCATGTGGATGACATGCACCCGCCACCCAAACACTGTTGCAGACCAAGTACACCTCCTTATCTGTGGGACATACAGGTACCCCAGAGGTCCTGTGTCCATGGCTGTTCAGGAATGGCCCAAGGAATGCGACAAAGAGCTCAAGGCATCAACCCGACCTCTGTAGTCCCCAGATCCCAATCCAATTGAACATCCATGGTACACAGTGGTACCGTAGAGGTCGCTGTGGATCAGACATGGCTTTGACCTGTCGAGACATGGACATAGGGCATCTGGCTCCAGACTCTTTGAGCCCTGTGCATTGCAAGGTGGGGTACTGATACATCCCATAGATGCTTGATTGGTTTGGAATCTGGGGAATTTTTTAGGCCAAGTCACCACCTTGAGTTTTTTAATCACATTCCCCGGGCCATTCCTGAGCAGTTTTTGAGGTTTGGCAGAACACATTGTCCTGCTTGGGAGGCCGCTGCCATCAGGGAGTGCTGTTGCAATGACAAGATGTACTTGATCTGAAATAGTGTTTCACTTGGTGGTGCATGTCAGGTGGCATTCACACAAATGCCAGGACTCAAGGTTTCCTAGGCAAACATTGCACTGTAGAGAGATGATAGATGTTATTTACATAACATGTCAGTGGTTTTAATGTTATGCCTGATCGGTGTAAATATTGACAAAGGCATAAATGATAATAATCTAAAATCACAATGTGATGCTCTTTAATAGTCGATGAAACCGGCAGCACCTGTTGGTAGCGTGCCGCAATCAATATTTGCAGGAAGTAGTCATTATAATTAGTGAATAATGTGGGGAAAGATACAGTATTATTGGCAGACAAAGCAGTAAAGTTTGATACAACAAAGCAACAGGTGAGCAGAAATGAGTAGCCTGTTTTGAGGTTTTTGTATTCCAAAAAAATAATACCGGGGACATGCAAGACACATACACAGAACAACAGACAGTCAAATGTGAGGGTTGGAGCAACAAGGAGTGTTGAGGTGGAGACACCACCAGCCAAACTCTTTGCTGTGCCTTCAGCCTAGCACTCTCACAAAGGACCAGAGTAACACTCTTTACTTAAGAACAAATCATCAGCATGCTGACTACTTCAAACAAAAAAAAAAAGATCCAATTGATGTGAAAATATTCAGAGATGACCTGATTAGATTCCAAGTGTCTGTGAGACCGCTATTTCGTTCCTGAAGAGCTGTGGGTGCTCATTCGACTGATATCAAATCTAAATAATCTGTAAGCCTCTTCTCCAGGTCAAAACAGTTTGGTTTTCTCAGTTTTCAATGAGCAAGTACGGTCCTCTCTACTGTCATTCCATTTACCTTGCCGAACGACTTTATATCTAACACAATTTGATTAAAAAATTTCAATGCCATGGTGAGAAATACTCCTAGGTCTTTTTGCCACTGTGATCTTATATTTATGCAACAGCTATAAAAAGTTCATGAATTTTCTGAAGTTGGGAAACTCTTTGCCACTCACTGCCGCCTTTTTGTTGTTGCTTTTTTGTCATTAGTGGTTATGTTTAGCGGTGATGCCCTTAGCAATGTAACTTCCTAGTAAAATCTTTAACTGTTTGTACTGAAAGCCCTTGGCATAATTTAAATGATACTGCATTTTCAGTTCATTAAATCGCATATTAATGGCACCAGAAAGCAATTGACACAGTTTAGTAATATTTTTCTGCTGCCAAACCCTATTAAAAACCAGTTACCCTACAGCTGTGAATAGTGAATTCTTCCAAATTGGACATGAAGACAGGGATAACCCAGAAATAGAAAGGCATCTATGAAGTTCTTTAGCCATGGCCCATGAATGGAAAGCTTTAACCCACTGTATACACATTGGACCACAGTCCAATTTTAAAAGTATAAATATTAAATATGGGAGGAAAAAGTGGCTATTTAATCCTGTCAACTGATGCCTCAGCATCCATCGACACTGCCACAGCTGCATGCTGAACTGTACCGCTCTTGACATCATATTTAAAAGCGTCCTTGTGCTACTAGAGGTGAGGCGGCCAGCGTGAAACCCCACTTGATCGACATGAATTAAAGATGAAACCACTCACTCGAGATGTATTGCGTCTTTGAAAACACATCATTATTCAGCAGACTTAGTAATGGAAATTATTCATTTGCAAAATGGTCTTTGCCTGGATTTTGCAACAGAAGAATCACAGTAAAATTCGTACTGTGCGGCATTGACTGATTGACAATAATGTCATTACATAGTAAAGTGAGGAAGGGGATCAGTACTGCATTTATGAAAGTCAATACTGTGACACTCCTTTCCTGGTGCTTTTTGAAGAGCCAACGTGTTGATTGCAGCCTTTATCTCTGACTATGAGAAATTGTCTTTCCAAATATTCTATCTCAGTTTCTTTTAACAAAGCCAAAGACAACCATTCAGATTTATATAGTTTTGAGTTATTCTTTTTATTTTTTATTTTTTATTTTTTTTATGAGGTTCAAATATTAGCTCTTGTCTTTATGAATGACAGGAAATGAGGAGTTATTCTGGGTTTGTTTCAGTTTTAGGGCTAATATTTGATCACTTTATCACCACTCCCAAACTGTTTTCTCCTAAGTTTTTGTAGTACAAATTATGTTTCTGCATGAACTATAATGTAGTTTGCAAGTAGCACTAATGTCTTTCATTCTGAATCGTTGGGGTCCCTCATATACTATTGTTCTAACTTATTTAGTTCAGCGATCAAAATGTGCTTTCTTACAAATATCTCCCTGTTCTTAGCTGTAGTGTATCTGTCCTTTTACAATGACATAAGTCTCTCATGCCCTAACGAAGAATTATTGAACTGTCAAAATCTTGTTTTATGTTTTTCCAGAGATGGGAAGTAAAAAAAAAATATTATTACATTCTCGCCTAAAGGCATCTAGCAGTGGGGTTGCAGAACTGACACTTGGTGGCCAACGTGAAAAGCACAAATGATCCTGTCTAGAGCCAGTGTTTGGTTGTCCGTTCTACTACTGTAGAACAACATGGGAGACTCTGTAAGCGAGGTCCCCCTCCATTATGTGGATGCAAGTCAGTCATTCTGTGGTAATAAATAATTAAACCCATTGTTTTATCTGGAGCTGATGATGGAAGAAGCTAAGGAGTGAGCCATCTCACTTGCTATTTATCTCTGTTGACAGTTGCATATACGCAGTATTGATCAGTCCCTCCTGAATGGCGGTTGGTTAAGACAAAGTTTCTGAACTGAAGCACAGGCAAGCATTTTAATTACCCAGGGAACAGGATTTCAGTTGGGTGGTGTTAGAGGATGTGGCAAAACTCCAACTATGCAATGCGCAGTTTGTTGAGAGCAAGGCAGATACAACGGGGTTGTTGTACACAGGCACGTCTTTTTGTCCTTTGCTGTTATTTTATAACCGCCTATAAATTAAACTGTTTTTATATGGATAAGTAAAAAAAAGACTTTGGGCATGTAGATTTCTAACCCACTTGTTAAAAAAAACATTACTGCTGAGCCTTTTATATGTTAACAAATATATTTATTTTTTTATATATATATTTATAAATATATATGTATTTTGTTATTTTCAAGAAAACAATTTAAGTATTGGAACGTCACACGCCAAGGACATTCTGTCTTGGGTAAATACATCTCAGAGAGGAAGGGAAAGGACAGGAAACATTTACAAAAGTAAACAAGACACAATAATGCTGCTGGATACAACATCCCATGGGCAGGAAAATCCAGGCCTAGAAATGGTTTGGAAGTAAGAGAATGTTTTGGAAAAGTTTTGAATATATATGGTTTTGGCTATTGTTTAATATACATTCATAAATCCCATCCCAAAACATGTCTGATATAACATTAAATACATTCCTAATGTTAATAATTTAAAATTTAATGCTACGCTGTGTGACCATTGAAACGTCACTATTATCGTGTGATACACATAGACCAGACTGGCATCTCATCATCACATTATTGCATGATCTCCAAGGCCACACCCATTTTCCAGTCACAGATCCATGTGGATGAGGGAAGACTGATGGGTCATGGCAGCGATCAACCTTAATTTCGTAAGGTATTGCGAACAATTATTTGACATGTCTACGAAACAAATGTTTGTTTGCCAAGAAAATGCATACAAACTTGTCAAAACTATAATCTAAAGACCCGGCAAATTGCACTGACATTTGTAGAATCTTTAGTTTTCTGTTCCCCAAAAGGGGTGTGGCCTTCACACTCATATGTGACGGTCTGGTCTGTTGGCGTAAGCAGCCAGTTGGCAGCAGGTATGTCTAACAAGCAAGTAAAGTTAGCGAGCACTAGCAGTTTTGCTCTAAAAGGCCTACCCATTTTAAACTTGTTAAATATAGTCACGGAGATGGGGTTAAATATTGTTTAAAAATTATGGAAAAGTTTTGAAAAATTCATTAGTAAAAATGTGTGGGAACCCTGGAAGAAGTAAAGATTAATAGCCCCTTTAATGCCACCAGACAGCCAATAGAAAAATTACAAGGGCGAAGGTCTGACACTTTTGCTGGAAAGTCATAAGCAATCAGACATTATGAGCAATGAAATTACTGGCCTGTATCCATGGAAATGTTTGTTTGATTTTCTTCTCACCAAAAGTTGCTCTCCACAATTAAACCCTTCTGTGTGTGTGAAAACACAGCAACATGAATAATGTAGTAAAAGTAGTGTTTGCCTGTATCGTCACTTGTACTGAAAGATTTAGCCCTGCAAGCAAAATACTAATTCATTCAGAGGAACAATTAAAATTCATGCTTGGAAATATTGTGGAGTACTACAACACACACAGAGACAGACACACACATTGATTCAGTATGCAAGTGTACTGTTGATGCTCGCAGGATGTGATCCCCTCTCTGCTCTGAAACCTGCTCCTGGTCTCACAGCTGACACTGAGATCATTGTTAAAATGCATCAGCCCTAACACTCATGCACATGCACACTCAGGCATGCATACACATACACACCCACACACACCCTGAGCCTTGTTTTCCCTGACGCTAACATACAGTGACATTGGTCCTCCTCCGGCATTCACACAAACAAACACACACACTCATACACATGTTTTTTGCAGTTATAACTTGTTGTTGAACTTGTCATCCTGCAGTCACTCCAATTCCTTTTGATGCTTATAGAAAGAAAATCAGATATGTGTATATATTCATATATATTTATAGGTGTGTGTGTGTGTGTGTTTGTGTGTGCGTTTTTCTCAGACTCCTGCAGAGGGCGCTGCCACTGTTGTGTACGCCGCTCTGTCACCGGCCCTGGAGGGGGAGTGTGGTGGAGGCTACTGGGCCAATGGGCGTAGGGAGATGACAACACCACCCACCTTTGACCCCCAGCTGCAGCTGAGCCTATGGGAAACCAGCTTCCAGTTGCTGGGCCTGCAGTAGCATGGGACGAACAGACGACTAACTGGACTACACCTCGATGGAAGCATCAGATAAAGACCCTTAACTCGGGCCAACCAGCCGCCTTCTCCTTCTCCCTTTTTATCTCAGTGTTTTTATTTTCCCACTCATACCTCACATCGAGGTGTTTGTAGCGAATTATGTTGACAATCTCACAATCCACCGCTGAACTGTGATGGTTATTAGGGGAGTGAAGAGCTCGTATTCATGCCAGACCCACCAAGGAAGGGCTACAGGGGATGGATTTTTTTTCTGCTATGAGCAAGCAAACACATACAAACACTATCGATATATGATTTTGCTGTCGTAGAGACTGGGCAGCTGCTAACATTTAGTTATGAACAGATATCAGTCGTCATCCATCTCTGATATGGTGAAGTTCATTCCCTGATCATAACAAACCTGATGTCCGGCCAGAGAAATCATTCCACGGTGTCACGTTCAAAAACCTGCAATGACACCTGCCTCACTCTGCCTTAATGTCATTAGTCTGGCTTGCAGTGAAAACGTTCGCTGTCCCTCAGTGAGCTAAATGCTGCTTTAGAGGCTTTTTCATCCTGACAATAAAAGTCTTGGCAGACATTAAGATGCTTTTTGGACATAATAACATGTCAGTTCAAAAGCTGAGTTTTGGCATCGTACACTGGCTTCAGGATGACGTGTCGGTCAAGCCCTAGCACACACACACACGAACACACACACATTCAGGCACCGTAACAATGACTTGATTTTTCAAGTCTGAACCCACCTTGCTGTGGCAAGGGAATGTGATGTCATCAGTTGGCTTTTACAAATCACGATATAACAGATCATCTCGCAGTACTGCACCTTATTTTCGGGTTCCTTCTCGTGCTTTTAATGGTCGCTACTGAATCCTCATCCTAACTGCTGGTAGGTGTATAATAAGCTGTGTTTTAGGTGAATTTCGTTGTTCTTATGAAGATGCTGGGAAAACACGATCAACGCCTCTTTTCTTTCTCTCTCTCCACGGCTCAGCAATCCAACGAAAAACGTTCCTTCGGACTGATCAGGGGATTTGGGACAAGACACTGAATAAAAGGGAGAGATCCCATGTAAAAGTAGGCCTAAATTTGGAATAATTCCCTCCTATAGACCCAAGAGTGATGAGACAGTCGGTTTTGTTGTGGGGAAGAGGACATTTTGTGAAGCCAGGATTTCCAGACGTTTGTGTTTGCTTTTTTCTGCTCAGAAACAAAAAGGGATCGATGGGGAACCAACACTCTGTCCCCATTTTCCTTTGTGATCTGTGTTAATCGGTTTTACTGTGTCTGTGATACACGTGTGTGTTTTAATGATCATGAGTTGAGAATTCACTCATGCTCTAGACCCCATTCATTTCGATGGATAGCACAACAATGACCACTGGAAGACGAGGGAGAGGGAAAGCACTTTTTTTTTCTCAGTATTTAAACTGTGATTGGTTCCTCATTGCTGCTGTTGCCGCTTCCTCATTTGGCGCCACTCCCAGTGCATTGTGGGATTGAGATTTCCCAGTGGTGAGAATCAAACTCCATCTGCTGAGCTGACACACACACTCACTCGGAAACATTGGAAGCTGTACATCCAGGCACAGGCTTATCTAAACAAGCACACAGCAAACAAACACGTCTGTTACTCATGCAGGAAAACACTCACGCACACGAACACACACACACACGCACATTGCACCATAATGCCATCTCCACTGTGATAAACCATTTTAGCTGTGAAGATGAAAAGTTTGATCTCAAATTAACAAGTTTTGGCTAAAATAAATCTTGCCCCACATGCCATCTCATTGCTGTACGTGTATAATGTTGCTTTGAATACTGCCACTGAGCATCCAGCAATCGTTACCGTATGTGAAGCAATAGTATCACTGTGGTAGCTAATTCAGCCAGTAGCACAGAGCCAGACATTCAGAATAGGAGCCCAAGAGAGTGAAAGTGTATAAATAAAAAATATACCAGCTTCAAGTTACCCATAATATCAGGAATTCAAAATTTCTCCATCTACATTTGTGAAAAAGTTTCTAGAAGATGTTTTTAATGTGCAGTGTTTTAAATGGTTCATTTAAAGTTGTATTGTTTTTCAGGCAGTTTGAAGATGTGTCAGGGGCCGAATCCTCCGAAGGTGCAGCCCTGTGAAGGTCAGGTTGAACCTGCTCCTCCCCGTCAAATGAGATGCCAGTCTAGGCTTACAGAGATAAAAACTAATGATGCATTCAGGCGCTCATCGTCAACTCAGTCATAGGATTTTGCCATCAAACAGCCAACGAAGTTTCCAGTAAGAGCTGTGATGTTAAACACCACGTGGCCCAGGTTAAAGGTAGATATATACGTATGACTTCCATTTATTTGTAATGCCCTGTGATCAACACGTCCATGCTGCAAATAGTGGAGTTCATGCCTTCCATTATTTACAACCTCTTGTCGGTGTAGTCCACGTGAAATGATTACCGGTGATGAAGTACCAGGTCAATGTGACGTGATCGCGTGAATTTACGAGTTTGACAACGATTGCCTGAATGCTTCATTGAGCAGTCAATCAGCGCACAATGGATTTAGGGATCTTAAGGGGCCAGCTATTTAAAAAAAAGGAGCGGCAGTGTTTCTTGGCCTTTTGTGAAGGAGCCTTTGAAATGTGACAGGCCTTGTTAGCTCATTATGATGAAATACAGAGTCTGGATGGTCCGTCTTTAAAAAATGCTGCGTTCATGTCATAAGGGATGGATCGTAGAGATAGAAGAGATTACCATGCTCACAACTTGTGTGCGTTAGTCCTGCAAGTCAGTGACTGGATTAGTTGAATATTGATTGAACATTGACAAGCTGGAAGCTGATAATTACGATAACTCTGATATGGCATGAATGTAGCATAACTTCAGGAAAACACATCACAGCTTAACTTAGTTCCGATTGGCAGGCTAAATATCAATACTTGAGGTAGGGACGGCCATAAATTTGTAACTTAATTACTTTATTTAGACGTCAGTTTTGGATAAACATATGAAGACATGATTTGATGGGACGCAGTGACCCAAATGCTATCTATTAATATCTGTAAATATAAAATGATGTTAGATGTCTGTCAACTTTTTTTAGCTTGATTTTGGCAAGTAAGCTATTTTGATTAAATGAAATGTGCAGTCTAAGCTGTTTAATGTTAAACTTAACCCTAACCCTATACCTGACCTGCATTTTCACTTGGATGTTCATTTCAGACCTCATTCTTACGTTAGATTTCTTCTTTCCAAGAACTTGAGTACTAATTAGGCGTTACCTAATTTGAAAGAGAGTCGCTGACTCCAGTGAGCCAATCAGAGTTCTGTGTGTGGACTTCGATTGAATTAAACCAATTTCAATTTCGCTTTTGACTGACTGACTGAACATCATTTTGCCAAATATCATGATCCTTAGTTTATTAGAGAAGGAAGTTGAATTCATGTTTGAAATCCTAATTTAAAGCGAACATCTCTTAGGTTTGATGGGTTTTTTTGGGTGTAGTAGTTGTGTGGAAATTGACTCTAAATGCCAGCAATACTCCTCAGTTCTTGAGCACCTTTTCTTCTACTCAGTGCTGTCAAACTGCTCGGAAACCAACTGTTTTATCGCCTCAGTGCTTCCTTGTTCGACTGCGTGGTTCCCCGAGGCTACTGTAAGGTACTGACTAAATAACAGAATAACAGACAACAAAAACCTAGGCCTGTTAAACAAATGCGCTCACTTCCCTTCACACAAATACAAACACCAGCTTACTACTCAGCAGTGCTCATTTAAAAAAAAGTACATGGCTACAGTGTGAGCTACATCCTGTCAAAGAGCTACCGTGTTTTGCACAGTCAAGCCGCCACAGTAGATGTATTAATACCTGAGAGGGAGAGACAGGGAGAACGTCACTGGCTGTCTTTCCTATTTGAGCACAAGGTTTTCCAAAGACGAGGCGAGGAGGAGTGTGAGGGTCTGCCTTGGTGTTCTTGTTGTGTCAGCGCACAGACGAGGGCTGCTAAATTATCAATGATTACCTTGTTATATATTTACCGTACTCCTGAAGCGCTCTACACAGACAGGACAACACAGTGAAGTTTCTGAACTTGAATGGAAAATATATAAAAAGAGCAAAAAAACAAAACAAAAAAAAAAACAGCCCAAGTAACTGTCTGTGATATTGTCTTTATGTGATTTACTCGTATATGATCATTTTAAAGCGTTGTCGCCGCTGGACATTGACCAGTGGAGCTGTGTGTAGACTGACAACCTTCTAATAGCCATTCTTCTTTCTGACCTGGGATTACATTTATATTAAATGTTTCAGTCCCATGTTCTGCAAATCCTAAATGTGTATATGTATAGGAAGAGAGATACTATAAAGATGTATACAGGGGGTGAACAGATGAGCTGAGTCCTTACTCTGGTACTAAGAGAAAACACATGCAGACATTTACGTGTCCTTTCACCTTTATTGCCATATCGCCCTATACCATTGTCTCCTTTGACTGCAAGTGCGACCTTTCCCTTGCATCCCTGCGGGCTGCACATAGAGGATGTTTCCACCTCAGATCCAGTGTAAATATTCAGTCCATCTGGTTCCCTGAGGATTTATGAAATGTGCAAAAATGTTTTATTTTTATCATTATTTTTGTTGTTGTTGAGATACACATCTTATTGCTTTTGCCGTGCCTAAGAAGAAAATCTCCCTCATACGTGTGTAACTGTGAATTTTTTCATGTAGAAATGAGCTTGTAGAAACTGTGATTATCGTCTTGTCCTGTGCATTGCCGTGAGTTTTTTCTCTCTTTGGAGTGATGGCGGTGGAGGTCACGAGTGTGTGCGTGTCAGAGTGCGAGTGAGTGCGTATGTGTGTGTCTAGATAAGGGAGTTCATGTCCATGTTTTTTGTCAATGGTTGTGACATTCCAGCAGCAGCCACCACCTTTTCTATTATCCAAAGCCTCTCAATAAACATATCATTGTGCCACTCTTGCTCTCTGTCCTTTACACTGTGTGTGAGTGAGAAACTGTCAGACTGATGACACACAGCATGAGACAGCGAGCCTCGAGCACAGTCTGAACTTTGGAGATATTCTGAGATCCACCACTGAAACTCATACACACACACACACACACACACACACACACAGTCGTGTTTCCATCACTTCACAGGACTTTACATTGACCTACCCTAACCATATTCACCACTTGTGTAACTCTACCCTGAATCCGAACCTAACCTTAAATCAAGTCTTCACCCTACATTTAATGATCAACCTACATTGTGGGGACTAGGTTTTGTCCCCATAAGGAAGGTGAGTCCCCATAATGTCACTGTGTAAACAGATTAATGTCCCCACAACATGAGTTATAGACACACACATACATACATTTGCCATCGGGTCAGAATTTTGTCTATTTGTTGTTTCAGTTTGTCCTATTATCAGATTTGGACCATTTAGTGTTTCACTGATACCTTCAAAAATACACTATGCAGGATTATTTTTTTTTATAACCCAGGGCCCCAATGGGAGGGAGGCCCTCGAAAAACCTGGCATGAAAAGTCTGCCTTTGATTGCAGTTTTTTAATTTGTAAGTAATTAGTGACATAACTAAATGTCAATCAGGAGAGACTTGTTTTTTTAGTGAAAAGAATGTTAACATGCGCACATAAGAATGAAAAATGTGAAACGTCTTTGACCCCCCCCCCCCCGCAGTCTAGACGCAGGTGGTGATAGAGGTAGTGAGGCTAAGATGCTGAGAAGATGGAGAAGTGCTCGTGATCTGGATGAGTAGAGGAATGAGCCTCTGTTGAGCTTGTCCTGGACTCTGGATACGATGGCTGGAGGTGAACAGGAGAGCAGCAGAGAGCTGGCTGATAGAGATTGTGTCAAAGTTTGATTGGATAACTAGAAGAGTGAACACCCATAGTCAGCCGATGAAGCAGTGGGAGTGGGAGGGAGAGAATTGTGGATGGATTAGCGCAAAGAAAGTCTTCCTGATTGAACTTTCGCTGAGCTTCATTTTAATTGACTGAATACATTGTTATAAATACTGAACTTATAGTGGAAGCTCTCATAGGTCTCTCTAACCCCTTTAAGGCACAAAATGGTTTAGTCCATCCCGCATTAGGACTCGACTCTTAATGCAGCTGAAGCTGAGTGAGTGACTGCTTAAGTTGCTGGAGCACCAATATTCACTGTCATGTCTTTCCCCCAGAGGGAAATCAGGATTCCAAAAAAGAAAAGGAAAACTGACTTGGTAAAAAAAATAATAAAATTCAAAAGGTGCGTGAGAGAGGCATGGATCAATAGAGCAAGGGCTGGGGGCCCCAAGAGACTGCTTATGCAGAAGGCCCAGAATATGGTGCTATGACCCACTCTCAGTGTGTGGCGGTGACTCTGCCCTCTGCCTGTATTTTCTTATTTTGTTCTTATTTGCTGTCTTCAAAACATTCCGTGTGTGTACCCCCACAGCACTCAGGTGAGGTTGAGACTTTATAAAAAGGTAACAGACTGTAAGCAGGAGGCATGTAAGAGACACAGTGCAGAAAAAATGCAAATGTAGGGAGGGGAAACACCAAACAAGAGTGAATATGGGGTTGGCCTCTACTTTCACTTTTGCTGACAATCCTGCACACTATACCTTCAAATAGTAGTATGCTATTACAATACGTTTTTTTCAGGACATGTGTACCAGTGGTCCTAAAATGAATAACCAACCTGATCTACCTGAGCTGCAGCTGCTAAAACGTATCAGCACTATTTTTGATTATAGATAGACCTCTACCTGATATGGTCTTTTGTAGCCTGACAACTGACAGATTGTTGATATTATTTAGAGATGAATGTTAGAGTCAATCTTTCAAACTAGCAAATTAGATTTAAAGGTGACCTGTTATGCCTTTCCCTTTTATCTGTCATATAATGTTACAGTGTTGGATGTTCATAGTAAACGAGGCAGTTTCAAATAACAAGGTGAACATATGTAAAATTAACCCCTAGCCACATGCTAACATCAGGAGAACATGTAAACTTGGTTGCCGATGTTGCTGATTTCTCCCTGATTTTGGATCATATTCCTGCTGGAGAATTTTCAGAATCAGATTCAAGTTTAAACACTTTTGTTGGAGGTTTTCAGGGCAGAAACCACCAAATGCGATGTAAATGTTTGTGTTGCATTAGTCTCTATATACAAACTCTACATTCAGTGAATGTAGAGTCTGTAGGCAAACCCCGGAGATCTTGCCTCCGGAAGAAGAGAGGAAGAGCCCTGGTTTCTGGTTGTAGGATGTTTGTAGTCCACGTGATATTGACCAATCACATTTGAGCTGGCTGCAGTTGTTAACAGGTTAAACGGTCCGTGCGTTGAAGTAACGAGGCAGAACATAATTGGCGTCACTGCAAACTCTGAATCCATCGCAATGGTTCAGCATATTTACGTTGGAAACGGAAATTCGCCTCCTCTGCCCAAATCAAACTGGAATGCCAAAAAATCGGGCCCCAGAGGCTGTATCACCGTCTGCCAGAAGTCAGATGCCGAATACATCTGATGGGTTCCGAGAATGGTGTTGTGTTAGCCGTTTAAGTTTTGAAGGCTAGAATATTTTGTGTTGACTGCTTCATACGGGTGAGTAACGTCATACGTGCGTGAAATTGCTGAATCAATGAATGAACTTCTGCCGGTACATCCTCGGCATCATACATCCCCAGAGGCTCTCAATGCTGATTGGCTATTGCGGCACAAATTGGTTGCTGAAGTTCAAATTTTCAACTCTCGTGAATAAGTGTATGGCACAAAATTGCACTACTCACTTCATGTGCGCTACTTAATTTGCATATCTTGCATCATCCGCATTAAGTCCATTGCGCTACCTGACGGGAATTCCGTTGTTATTACATCTTTACATTGACTTTACATGTAATTCACTCGCGCAAATTGTTCGATTTGACAACATTACAGTCTTTACCCAGCTGCAATGACACCAAGATCGCAGAAGCATGACCCGGACCAATCATCGCAGACTGGGCTATTTTCGGGAGGGGGGCTTAAAGAGACAGGCACAAAAATGGAGCATTTCAAACAGAGGGTGAATACAGGTATATTCAGGCAGATAGTATGAGAAAAGTTAAGTGGTTTTGAAAACGAAAGCATTTAAACATGTTCTAGTAGAAACCCAAAATGCAAGTATGAACCTGGAAAAAAGCTCAATAGGTTTCCTTTAATTAAACAGTCAACTGAGTATCAGCAAAAAATGTTACCCAAAGGCAACATCAGTCATCAGATGGTTGTATTAGTGTACAAAAATGAATGTTGTTGAATCAAGAAAAAAAAAAAAAAAATAGCTTGACTGGTTTAACCAGTAGTTATATTTTACTGCATATGTCAAAGGGCTCTTATAGCTACTCAACCGTCATCTGAAGATGTTATATTTCTACTGCAGGACTGTCATTAAGGTTTTCACAGTCACCACTCTCTCTCAAGAGACTGATACAATCAATACCTGTCTCTCTTCAGCCTTCAGTTGGTGATTCTTCCATCTGTAGTCATGAACAGTGAACTTTTAAGACTCCACCTTCCTTTTTATGGATGATACCAGCTGTGTTTAAACGTATTGGGCTTGGGGTTACACTCATCGTTTGGGTATCAAAATTACAGACATTTTTAAATTAATGTTTTTTTTTATTTCTATTCCACTGCAATTGTGTACAGTAGCTCTATACTCTGTTAAACCTGAAGGACCACAGAGGAAGGATGTGTTTTACTTTTGTTTCTCTTGGATTTTATTGATTGTAACCAGTAAAGGCAGGAGGATAACATAACTGCAGAGACCTTCACTGAGGACACATTTTTGTAAAGAAATACACACAAATCTGAAAAGCAAAAAGCAGCATCCTTCTCCTTTGCTCCCCACTAAATATATTCATAAACCTTGGATCCAGACCAAGTGCAACGAATGAATCAGACATCTTTCCTGCATATGCGACAATAGACTTTCTATTAGAAGAAGCAGGGAAGAGCAACTGTCATCTTGTCTTAAAGAAAAGTGCCATTGAGACATGATTAGGCGGCTGAGCCAACATGACTACAAAGGCACGAGAATCACTGCAGAGAATCAAAACGCTGGGAAAAAATGTAAGACAGCTCATCAAGGTGCATTTTGAATGGCAGGCAAGCAGAGGTACATCATGTATATGCCAACTTGTTAGGATGAGTATCTGACACAATGAGGAGAATGAGGTGCTGTCTCCTCGGCTCTTTGTAACACAAGGACACATACAATACAGTGTGTCTGCGCTTAATTGGCTGTCGTCTCCGCTCACTGGGGCAGAAAACAGAGAGAGAGGGAAAGAAAGAGCAACCTGGAATGACAGAACGATCATCCTCATTCATGTCCTGGTAATTGATGCCCATATACTTGGGACAGATTATGGTTTATAACAATGAGTATAATCCGCAAAGCATTATAAACACACTTAATAGGTCCTTATTCAACCATTAAGTGGCAGCTTTCCCTCCATAAATTCCTTGTGGGAGATTTAATGAAGTCATTGCTTGCATGCTTATAAAACAGGAAGTGGCTAATAAGCATTCATTTATCTAATTGCTGCCAAATGACTGTGAAGACTTTATTATTCACAGCAATATCCAAGGCGGACCTGGTTTTACACGGTCACTCACCTTTTCACCTGCACTAATATAGTCTCATAGTCCAGTCACTGCTGGACACATCCCCATAGTCTGGTTCCTTCTTATCTGAGAAGTAACTTTGTCACTGTGTGGTCCAAAGGGGTAGCACTTATTGTGGCAATCTCGAAGATTTCGGTCCTGGCAAAGCAAATGTGTTCAACATAACATTTTTTCCCAGATTCAATAGCTAGGTTTACCAGTGCTCATTGCAGCATAATGCCCAGGCGCTGTGGCGTGCTGGAGCTCCTCAACACCAATGAAGATGTCCTTGGGCTGTCCATGGCTCAGGATCCTCACAAAAA